GGGGCGGGGGGGGGGGGGGGGGGGAGCTTTCAGGGAGGTAAAAGCCAGAGCAATAAAGAAAATAACGCATGGAAATGACACTAATCCATAAAAGCCGAAGGACATGTGCGCCTCTATGCTGGTCCTAAGAAGAAGCTAAAACTGCTGAGCAACGTGTTGGTGGGGGGAAGGTAGCAAAGGAAAAGGATGAGAGAGAAGACTTCTATAGTTTTTTTTAAAAAATGCACATATAATGGGCAAATTTAGAATGTAAAAATTATTGCTGATTTGAAATGCCTTTTTCTGCCCATTGTCAGGCAGCAAAATCAGAACTCCGAATGAGGCATCTAGGAAACTGCTTTGTGCCCAGTCAGAATATAAATCCCAGTGGCTCATATAATCCACAACTCTCCTTCCCATATCCATTGGCTGGGGGTGATAGGAACTGTAGTGCAATGTATCTAGAAGGCATTGGGTTGGGCAAGCCTGACCATGGGGCTCTTGCAAGGCTGGCGAGTCAGTAGGCTGCGGTGACTGTGCTGATTGCATTCCCCCACTAGCAACTTAGAAGATCTCCTGGAACCATCCAGCTACCGTTGTGCCAAAATTAGGAACATGGTCTGGCTTCACATCCAAGCCCTTAAACCCTTAGTGAGTTCCTTGAGTTTTATTTATTTATTTATGAAATTTATACACCGCCTTAATCCAAGTGGACTCCAGAAAGTTTACGACATTTATCATAAAATACAACAATAATTATAGTATGAAATATAACAATATATAACTATAACACTCAAACTTACATCGAGGGCTCCAGAATCAATCCTAAAAGGTTCTCTGAAAAGACAAGTCTTTACAACTTTCCAGAAGAGTGGGAACCTCCTTTTTTTTTAGAGGGTCAGCTGTTCCGTAGGAGCCTGTAGAGGAGTACGGAGATGGTTGTGAAGAAAATATGTGGCAACTGTTGAGAAACATAGCCTCGGAAAAGAGGAAAGGGTGAGAAAAATACTCAAGATTACCCTGCCTTGACTCTCTTTGGGGTGAGTGGGAGGAGGGGGGAGGCAAGATGTTGTCAGGCTTCAAGATTCAATATTTTGTTGTTATAGCTTAGATCAATAAAAGTAGAGTTCTAGTACTGTACTAACTGGAAGGGTTGACAGAGCCCTACAGATAATGCCCACCATCACACCTCCTAGTACCATGGGGACCCTAAGCAGGTATTCTGTATCCATTTGGGCCCCAAGCCTTTAAGGGCTTTAAGACCAGCACCTTCAGTTGCACTAAGAATCCTACTGATAGCCAGTGCAGGTCTTGAAGCAACAGTATAATATGGCAGTATTACGACTGACCAGTAAGCATGCAGGCTGCTGCATGATGGACCAGTTGAGGTTTCTGGATGGTCTTCAAGGGCAGTCCTACATAGAGCACATTGATTGATTGACTGATATGTGCCATCAACTCTAAACAACCACATAGATAGATTGTGTTCAGGAAGAACTGTCCCCAACCTGGTCCTTCATGTCTTCCAATGGTGCACCCATCCTTACTATAATTGAGTCCATCCATCTTCCTGCTGGTTGTCCTCTTCTTCTCTTTCTTTCTTCCTTTCCCAGCGTCAGAGCCTTCTCCAGAAAGCTAGGTCTTTGAATAGTACAGAATGTCTGAAGTAGGATAATTTGAGCGTGGTTATTTGTGCCTCGAGAGATAATTTGTTTGAAGATCCATTGGTTTGTTTTCTTCGCTGTCCATGGTATTCTCAGGAGTTTCTCCAGTGCCCAATTTCAAAAGCGTCCATGCTTTTTCTATCCCGTTTCCATCCTGTAGAGCACATTACAGTCATCTACACATGAGATGTCGAGGGCACGAGCAACTAACCTCAGTGCATCCTGTTCCAGGTAAGGCCCTTGCTGGTGCCACAGCCAAAACTGAGCAAAGACCCTCCTAGCCACAGCTGCTATCTGCTCCTTTAGCAGGACCCCAGAGTTCAGGAGGATTGTGAACCTTTTCTCTCTGGGGAAGCACACATCCATAGAGTGTCAGAAATGTGGTATATCAGCTGGATTAGTGATTCTTGCCTGCAAGAGCGAACTCTCCAACACAATTGTTTGTCAAGGCAGTCCAAAGATCTCAGAGACTTTAGATATCTGTGCTTCATCCTTCTGAATTAACAAATTCTTGGCGAATTGCTTGGCAACCTTGCCAGCACCTGAGATAGGTTTACATATTGGCCATTTGTAGTCTGGGAACTAATGGTTGTTGCTTCACTGGTGTAAAAGCAAACTATCCCTCAGTCAAGCTTAATTCCTGGTGACTTCCCAGATACAGCCACATAGATTTCTTTGCCATAAGACGGAAGTCTTTTGCCATGGCTTACTCCCAAGGTGTTTATCTACGCCTCTAAGATTTCCTGGTAGTCTTTCCTCCCAGGGTTGCTGTCAGCCCTCCAAGGTAGGCCAGGTCAGAAAACAGACTCCACAAGAAATACTGGAATTCTACTTTACTGATACAGAATATAATAATGGAATCTTGAAAGCCTGATAGTGTTTTCTCTTTCCTCCCTCTTATACCATAAACAGCAAAGGTGGTATATAACATCTTTTTCCTTTCCCAGGCTTAATTCTTGTTTTACTAATGGCCATTGCATACCCTCTCCAAGGTAATCTCTATGGTTCCTTACACCTAACTAGGTCTGATGCTACTCAGTTTTTGGAAATGCTGATATTTATTAGCTACATTTCCTGGTCTTCCTGAAACAATTGCAAGATATCAAGAAGTCCTATGAACAGATGGAATGATCATAGGCGTATTCACATCTCACAACATCTTCCCTCTCTCCAAAAATGGTCTGCACTGTAAACTAAGAAGGCATCCACTCCTGTAGACCCCTTACCAGCATCCCAGGAAGTCCAGCCAATGGAAGAACAGAAACATTTATAGAATGGAAGATGCTGCCCCGATCCTGTGCGTAGCCACCTCCCTGATCTGGTGCCTTCCAGATGTGTTGGGCATGCAACACCTGTCACATCTGCAGGGTGGCAGATTGGGGAAGGCTGGATTTCAGGTTTATGAGAAAACAAATGGCAGTGCACACAGGACGTCCCTGCTGTCAATTGAAAACTGGAGCTGCCTGGAGTGAAGAAAAGGATTCCCAAGTGGCTGGCAGAAGCCAGCCCGTCTGAGAGCCTGGGAGAAGGAAAAGCAAACCTGAAGCGTGCCCTGGCTTCTTCAATTGCTCAGCCGAAAGGAGACGTGGAAACCTGACCTTCTCCTTGGGATGGCTCCGAAGCAGCTACTCCAACCCGTCTTTCAAGGCCTAATTAGCCAGCTAGAGTGCTGGCGTCTCCCGCCTGTCTCTTCAGCCAGCCGACGTCAGCCAGCAATGTCGGGAATGCTCAGCCTGGACAAAAGAAACCCAAGAGCTTCCTGAGTGTCCCGCCACCCAGCTCCACCTGGCAGTTTGGGAGCAGACTGGATCTACATCCAGCATGTGGCCATTTCTGGACTGCGGTCCAACTCTGACCTGCAGGGTTCCCTTTCTTGGCTCCTATCCTGCAAGACGATGCACCACCGTGTAGAAGAGGGTTACTGCCTTGTAACAGGCTGTATTTGGCCTTGCACAACATGCTTAACTGTCTGGGTTACTGAATTCACCTACCTCCTGGCTTCACACTTCACACAATACACTGATTCCTAAACTAACCAAACAGACCAAGTTCACCCAGCTTGCTAAATCACAGAGAGAGAGAGAGAGTCACAGGTAAAACTAACCAGGTATAGCTTTTTGTGTGAACGCAGCCACTAGGTCTAATGGGTTCACCAGATTAAATTTAGGCAAGGGAGAGGGATTTCACTGATGCCAAAACAGCATCCTTGCCACCTCACTGGGTGATTTGGTATTCACCCATCAACTATTTCACTTTGGCAATAATATGTGCCAGTCAGTGGCCCAGCCATGGGCACCTGCATGGCTCCTCAGAATGCCAACATATTTGTGGCTGACCTAGAACAACGCTTTCTTAACTCTTACCATCTGAAGACCTTCCTTTTCCTGATATTCACTGATGACATTTTCATCTTCTGGACCATGGACATTCCATCATTACTTCAACCAGTTCACCATCAGCCTCAGCCTAGCCCTATCTACAGAACAAGTCCTCTTCCTTGATGTTCCCATAAAAGTACACAACGGACACACAAGCACCAGGTTAGACAGGAAACCTACAGACTGAAATGCCTACCTACATGCTTCCAGCTTTCATCCAGAACACATCACCAAATTCATCATCTATGGCCAGGCTCTATGTTACAACCGCATTTGTACTGACCCGCTTGACAGAGATGCTCCACTGACTGAATTAAGCTAGGCACTCAGGAAACTGAACTATACACCCAACAAGATCAATAGTCAAATCACTAGAGCCAGATCAATTCCCAGGGAGGACCTATTGAAAGACAAACCACAAACACAGAACAACAGAACACTACTGGCTGTCACTTACAGCTCATAGCCCAAATCGCTGAAACGTGTTATTAATAAGCTGCAGCCCATATTGGACAATGACCCTGCACTTTCTCAGCCACCAGATAGCAGGTCCATACAGATAATTACCCTACCAGAAACAGATTCTCATAAGCAACAAGATACATGTAGAAAAGTAGGGAGGTGGCCTGGAAGCAAATATTCAAAAAAACACTGTGTAAACAAAAAGGACAGGAGCATTTCTCAAGTCCTGGCAAAAATGATAGTATTAAGAAGAATCTCAGGTTGGCCCTTATAATCTTGTGGTATAAGATGGAGGGGAGGAAATACGCAGTCAGACTTGCAAGACTATAGCCTATTTCTATAAAGTAGAGTTCTAGTCTTCCTGTGGAGTCAGTTTCCTGGTCTGGTCTACCTTGTAGGGTTGATAACAGGACCATGATGCTAACATGGGAACCAAACACTTCAACAAACCCAGATGTCTTCTTGACGCTCACAGCTACACCAACAGGACCACCAAAGGCCCTAAGAAGTACACAAGCAAGATTAGAGGTTCCTTCACATGTTCTTCCTCTAATCTGGTATATGTCAGCAATGCCCCTCTGGATTCTACATAGGGTGAATGGAACAAACGGTGTGCAAAAACATTTAATGGACACAAGTTTGATATCAGGACTCAAAAAAAAAGGACAAAGAAGTATCAGAGCATTTCAACTTTCCGGGATGCTCTATGGCAGACCTCGAAGTGGCTCTTTAGGAGCAATGGGACTTTAACTCCACCATTGAGTGAAAGGTTGCTGAACTCACATATAGGTAGTCCTCGGGTTACAATGGCAGTTGGGACCCAGATTGCTCCCACTAAGCACTGTGATTGTAAAGCGCTACATCATGTGACCGCATTGCTTAGTGATGACAATCCCAGCAGTCCCGGTTGCTGTCATAACCCCAAGACATGTAGGCCGTTAAGCGGGAAGAGGCAGGAGTCCCAGGTAAGGAGCATGGGGATGGTGCAGGGGGGTGG